ACGACACCATCCACTTGTCGAAAATGCTCACCTTCAAACGTGAAATAAACGTTGTCAGTGCATAATAGTAATAAATCTTTCAAATAAGTTAAAGGAAAAGGGAATGAAAAACAACTAAAAGATATATAGTCACACAGAATACCAACAGTCTTAACCAATGGTACATTAGTAAACACAGAATTAGCATCAAAAGGATACATTTTAATATCTTTCATATTAATATCTACAAGACAGTCAACAAGGTGAAATGTATCTTTCAAAGCAAACTTACACAATTCGATGCGTACTGGGCTTAGAACATCAGCTTACAATTTTACGAATTTATGTCTAGGAGAGTGACTTAATGGATTGCCAACCTTATGAATCTTGGGTAATCGATAAAGGTTTGGAAAATCAGATCCTATAGGTTTCATGTTTGTCGATAAAATCCATGCCAGGAGATTTTACTAAATGCGAAGTTACTTTTCCTCCCAATTTTCTAATGCCATCAGAAAGGACATAGGCTATGAATTTGCTTTTATCGTTAAGAATGGAAAACATTTTTGTATTTCAATCACCTTTTTCCATTACCACTGGGTCGCAGTCGAAATGTTTTTTGTTTCTGATTTGAATTGCGGAATTGATGTGCTACATCAAGAAATTTAGCTTTCAACCAGCTCTGGTCATCTGTCGAGGTAGGGACTAGAGGACGAAATTGATCGTACAAATTTTCCATCTGAGAATCAATTGCTACGTCTGAAATATTGTTTAATGGGATAGAAATGTTGAAACCAAGTGATAGCGCCTCCTTCTCGTGTACTGAAATTTCAACTGAGAACAAATTTGTCACATACTTATCAGGATTTCATGGAAACTGCTTCAACTGGTAGTCAGACTGGATTCGTTTCAACATAGAACTTTGCACCGATGTGGCAGCAGTTCAACTTGCCACACTTTATGTAGCATACAGAGCAAGAGAAGAAAGTAAAAAGGAATGCAAAACAGAGACAGTAAACAGAGATATAAGATAAAAAGAATAGTAATATCGAAAGACAATATAGTTTTATTGGATATTAAAGTCACAAGCAGTGGATGCATCTGCACCAGCCATTGAGAACGATTTTCAGCCATAGCACCAATCGTCTACAGCCTTCATTGGTTCTTACCATCCCAAGGACCCCAACCAGACAGCAGTCTACACCTTCCTACATGGATGGTATAAACTAACTGTTGTGGATTTTATTGACTGATATCGCCATGTTTTGGTTTGACCATCGCTGGCTCTCTTCTAACCTGATCCTATGTCAGGTAACACTGCTCGTCGGTGGAGGAAGGCGATGGCTAGACTAGGCATGCGTAACACACGTCCTAACCATCTCAGTCGATGTAGCTTCACAGCCTCGTCTAATGAAATCCCCTCCTTACTCGACCGATGCCTAACCTCAATATTGCTCACCCTATTATACCACTTCACACGGGAGATAGAACCAGTTGGTTGATCGCTGACGAGATCAGAGTTACAAGATCCAAACAACTTCAATCTAATACTCTCTTTTGTCTTATTAATGGCAGAGCTACAAAAATTAATGGACTTGACTTGGCAAATTATGGAGACTTCAGACAATATATTTGACGATAATAAATGGAGTCCAATTAATTCACGTTACTTCTCATTGGATTTTCAATGTGAGATTTAGTAAGACGAATAAGATTTGAAAAATTTAGTGGCAGTTTAAAAGACAGAAGAAATTTGTTATTATTATAATGCCCATCTCAATAGTTATTCATTTATTCACATCCCTGAACTCTGACGCTATATTTTATTAGCCACTAATGTTTTCATTATGTAAATGTAAAACCTGATGAGAATTTATCGAAAATACGTACTTGCTTTAAATAGTGTTCTACAGTTATATACAGAATTGTAGCTCGGTTGCTTTAATAACTGACCAGACCTCCTTTCATGACACAGGGTGAGGTGATTTGAAGTTTAAATACCTGCCAGACAGTGATGTTGTATTTAACTATCTACCAGCTAATTTTCTTTGCCTACTTTTTAACTCAATATTTTAAAAAAACTAGGGATATGTTGTCATTCGAGCAAACTCTTGATTAACCGTTTCATATAAAATGAAGAGGATGGTCGATATTAAGACAGTAAATGATGATGTAACTAGCCTTTGTATCAATATACATATCACTATGCTCACACAGAAACACAGCAAATAAATTTAGGATTTCACCACGAACCGACATCGGTTAGAGGACCAGTCGAAAACCTGGGAATACTGGACAGCCTGCTGTTTCGTCAGACTAGTTTGAGACTCTTCATCAGTACTCACTCACCACCACGGTTCGAACCCAGGGCCCTCTGCTTACAAGGCGAGCTCGTAGACCATTAAGTCACTGGGACCCAATCCGTTGGCGAGTCCATGAATTCAAACTTCTGCCAATTCATGACACGGCACGATAAGTAGCGAATACCATCGGCAAGTATTTGTCCTCACACACGACCTGCCGTACCCCACTGGTCATGACTACTAATTGGAACCCAGGTATACCTGAATCGGAACAGTCACTAGTGAGCATCAGATCGATATCCAGATATTAGTTTGCAGGGATTTGATTGGTTTCAAGATTCCATCATGTTCTATGAGCTCGCCTTGTAACCAAAAGGTCGCGGATTCTAAGATTGAAATTGAAATTCAGGTCCCCAGTGATTCAAGCAGGCCACCAACCTAGGTTTGCACCTCAGTAGGTGGGTATTGTGAAGAGTTCCAAACTAGGACGAAACAGTTGTCCAGTACTTCCAGGTTTTCCAATAGTCCTCTTAACGACGTCAGTTCATGATGAAATCCTGAAACCAATCAAATCCCTACATACCAACACTCAAATTCAATTGGTGAAAATATGTAAGAAATTAATTAGATTTAAACAAAGCAAAAACTACGGTATGAAATTAATTAGATGAAGACTGGTGAACATATGCCTGCCATGAGGAATTATTTTAAGCCAAATTAACAAGTCTTTAACCATTGATTTATCCTCTTTGTTTACCCTGGTTTACAATAGGATTATCAGGGCTATAACCATCTCGTATTTTGTGCTTCTTATTACTCTTCCTTTACACCTAGTCTACTTCCCACCACTACTATCATCAATTTCAGTCAACCTTTGTGATTTATATTAGGCTTATCATACCTCTAGTATTTGATTACACTTCACAATTTTATCAATACATATGTTATTTGTCAGCCCTCAAAGTTACATTCAGTGTGCCTCATTTGTTTGTATGTATTTTGTAGTATTCATAATTCTCTCACATCAATGAACACAACTTACCACCCTCCAATGAAACTTATATTCTGTTAACTGTAAATACATTAGCACGTCACCCAGTTGTCGATTCATATTTCACCTTATTTTCTGAACGACTGTACATTTTATATACATTCGGTTGACAGTATTAACTAACCGACTACCATCCCGTCTTATACCCCTACAGAGTGTCTGATATAGTTTCTATTTGATTTTACTTGCAGTTTGTACTCTAATACTCATGGATTTATAACTGCAGAGCCTAAAGAAGTTATCGGAAACATTTGTTCCCTCCAAAACACCTTGTTCTCACTATAACATACGGATATTTAAATTACTTTAATGCCTTTGTTGAGACATTTTTGCTTACTATGGTTACTGTAAGACACATGAAGCTACTACATCCCACATTGTATTGATAGACTACATGGGAATTTACATATGACCACACAAATATAAACAGACTGGTACTTCAAACCAAGTCATAACCTTTCACATATTCAAAACTAAAACTAAAGACCGAAGACACTAATCATTAGAACTATTCTACCTGTTTCTGTTCTCACTACCTTGTTGTACACAATTAAACTGATTCCCTAGTACTACTTACTATATAAAAAGGAAATCTTTTCAACTGGATCTTGACTTCTCTCTGGAATTTTTAAGCGAAAAATCTGGGATCTATAAAAGTAGTGGCTATTGATCGACATGTTTTGTACACACAACTTTGTCACTCAGATAATTAGAAAATCCATAGACCACTACACAATATACAAACATGTATACGTTTTTAATGCTTTCCGTTTAGATTTATGCAACACAAATTCGTATTAAAGTTAATGACATAAAAAAGGAGCAATTCAAGCCAAAAGCAAGTCTAAAACAAGGATAATCTGAGAATAACTAACTTCAATATAAGAAAAGAACTTGTGCACTGTGGTAGAGTATGATTCCATCATGGGTAAAATTTATTTCGATAAAGTCTCACAGTGTTATACAGTAACATTTAGTGATGATGTTTCGAGCACAATTTATTGTTCATAATTACCTTGATGTGATGGAATAACTAACTTCATCAGAACGTAGTTTATAGACAAACAGCTGTCTGAGAAAGCTACACTAACGTGAGGTACCGCAAAAAAAGTACTTCACTTAGGCTTTTTACTCAGAAACAGTACAAGAGATATACTTCAAATGACTGCTTTGAACACAAATCTATTTAATTTGATCTTTGAACCCTTAATGTGTCCTACAATAAACACTACACGAAATCTATATACGAAGTAACTACGTCGTTATTGGAGAGTGAATTTACTAAAAAAAAACGTAGAATTCAGAAGCCTTAAAATATATGAATGCTAAAAGGCAAATTAATGAAGAGCGGTAAAATGTTGGTGGGGAGGGGGGATGTAAGAAGATAACTAGTGAATGTACCTGAACCGCTACGATCGAGACATATCAAAAATATTCTTTGAATTTTCACTTTTCGGATAAAGACTGTTTGTCGAAGAAAGTCTGTACGTTTTCGATCTGGCTAAGGTCATCTATAGGAACTGATTAAGTGATGCAATTTTTCTTTCTTGATGCACAGTACACCCTAAAATAATACCTTAAAATTCTTAAAAAGCGATCCAAAACAGCTAAATAAGGATAAAACATTTGTTAGCGTAAGTTGTAAAACACCACCATATTAATAATATAAAGGCTTTTTCACTATATTAGTGTTTTATTCCAAACATTGTAGTGAAAATAAATAAAATGAAAGACTTTGATTGTAATAAGGAAACACAATACACTTTAAAAAAAAAGTGAAGACAGAATCCTTCAGTATAACAAAGGAGGATCAATTTTTTTTTTGAATTTGGTAAATCAAAAGGCGTCGGGTAGACAAGAAATAAGTTAGTCATAAAATAACTTAAAAATCTTTTGTTATGAAAAATGAACTGAAAAAATATCCTATAACAGAAGGACTCTAAAAAAATTGGTTTTCACAGGTAATGATGACAAATATATATTTATCTAACAGTGTTCCCCTTTCTTTTGTCGAACTCTTGAATTATTCCGAAATATAGGTGTTGAAGAAGACTCTGTATCTTTATGAAATATACAATGAGATGTTTGTTATAATTGTTATTTAATGTTTTATTATCGAATGAATTCACTCCATTTTTATCACTACTAATATCACCATCTGTTTTATCACAACTTTTGGTATAACGAAAGGGAATTTCAAAAACATTAGGTACTACAGACTTAATATCATATTCCATGAAAGAGAACAAAGGAAACCAAGTCATCGCACGTTCCATACCCGGTTGGTGAAGAATATTACTATTAGCTAAACAGTGATAATATAAAAATAACCTAGATGATACATATATAGCAATAAATACATCAATGGAATAATGTTCATGACAGGCAAGTATAAAGAATACACCAAAAAGATTTAAAACCCAAGAGAAGGTATGTAACACTTGAAGCTTTCGTGGTGAATATTCAGTGATAAAAAAATTGAGAAGAGTAAGACATGTGGTATGACCACTGAACATATAATCACCACATGTTTGAATCCCACTGATGGACATACCCATTCCTAGCCATATATGTAATACACGTTTAAGACGCTCACTTTGATTTTGCACAACATATGGACTGCAATAATCAGCTAAGTGTTTACCAGGTACACTGAGTGAAGTAATAATCATAGTCACTGATCTCAACAAAAGAACTGTACCCATAAGTACGAAGAAACGACGTAGAAGTATCAGTCGATATTTGTGGAAAATTAAGATAGTTAACCAAATAATAGACAAAATTACACCAACCCATTCCGCAGCAGCAAATCCCCAACTAATATGAGGAAGATTATCTAAAAAGAGATCTGGTAGAGGAGGATATTTTGATATATCAGGTAAGCGTTCGTGAGCCAAAACCATAACAAAGGATGTGACACATGTGGAAAATAAGAAATACAAAGCACTGATAAAAAGTCTCCATGAATTTGAATTTTCTTCAACTACTTCAAAGTTGTCATCATTCAAAAATGAATTCTTAATGGGGTAATTCGAATCGTCATCACCGGTAAATTTATGAACATCCGAATGATTAGAAATCTTACTACTCAACGTCTCAACTGTAGAATTTTCACCGTCAATAAAACGTAAAAGTTGCTTCTCACAACCTTTAATTTTAACTTGATGTCGCCAAATAGATGATAGAAATAATATACGCTTGCGCAAACCAATCTGTGTAACACCCATATCAGTTAAATCTTTCTCATCAAGAAGACAAAATGAGAGACCATCAACTATGTTGTCAGTGAAGATTTTTGATACTGACTCAGGAACTCCATGATTCACAGGTACTTTGAAAGATCCGTAGAACTTGCATATAGTGATATGGCTTCTTCATGCAGACAAAAAGACATCTGAAATATTAACAACACTAATGAGCATGCACATCTAATCACCAGTAATCAAAATTTTACGGTCTGGGCAGCTGGAGAGTGATAACTGCCAACATGCCCAATCAAGATTTTCTTAATTATCAACCACCTTAATCTTCTTTTCTCACTATTAATACTATTCCACACCACCTTTCAACCCTGTGAATATTTATACAGACCTCAGCCGGAAAAACGCTACTGTTAGTCTCTTAAATACATCTTACTAAGCTCATACTGAAGCACCCAATCTCATGACCTTATGCGAAATTGGAAAGCAGGTCTCACCAGTCAATACTCTGGTGTCCCGAACTACGGATGTATGTTGTGTTTCGGAGACACTCAGGCGAGACCTAAGTGTAATTATTCACTTATTAATTATCCACCACATCTGTCCAATGTGATGACTCTACAAAGTTCACCTTACGGATGTTAGGAAATTTCTCAGTTAGTTTATATAAACTTACTGGTGTCAGAATGGCATTGAGCCCTAAGACAGAAAAATTGCTACTTGACAGTATTATAATGGAAAGTCAAGCGTGCTGTCCAACTGAAAAGGTTCATCACACGAAGGAGAGATTGTGATACTTCTCGATATACTTTCGTAATATCCGCTTCAAACTTGAATGACCACATTTCGAAGTAGGTAATGAATTTTATCAGAAGCTGTCCAGTTTGCTGCTGCAGGCGAAACGTTCAGGTATTTTAGTAGGTGATCATAGTGCTCATGAAGCGTAACTGTGCCAGTCAGAAAAGCATATTGGTAGCATCAGTGCAATCACAAACCTGTAAAGGTGGACGTCTTTTACATTTATATCCAGATGGTCATATCTTCCTGGCCAACACTAATTTCACACATAAGGAAAGATATTTCCACAGCTGGCGACCTCCAACATCAAACCAACGATGGACACAAACGGACCACGTAACTATAAGCTATTGATGATTGTCGCTCCATCTGGAAAACCCGCATAGACTAGAATCACGCACTAAACTGTGCGTGCCTATAACTAGACACATGTAGAAAACAGGCAGCTATCAAATCGCAACGCCCCCAAGTTGACAACAGCCCAAAAGTTTCATTAACGGAAGTAATAATTAAACGTACAACTAGGATTAACAGTAATACCCATCCTGAGAAAGCCAGGCATCATATTCACTCTACTGTACAAATAATAATAATAGGAGATTCTGGCAACCTGAACCACAGGTTGGTAAATGCCAGTGGATTTCGTCTGACTCACCTGAACTGATGGACTCAAAAGAGTGATTCTTGTAAGTTCTGAAAATGATGAGGAGCAAAGGTTGCTAAAACGCCAGATCACTAAAAGCCTTCGTGACTACTGTGAAGAGTGGTCGGTGGCCAAAATAAAGGAGGTGAAAGAGACATCAGCAGTAGGCAATAGCAGATAGTATCCGAACTCACTAGGGAAATAGGTTGTAAAAAGCAAATGGTAAGTGGAACGATTTATCTAAAGAATGGCTATTCAACCTCTCAAGACCGACGACTGGAATGTAGACGTGATATTCCATAAAAGCTAGTTAATTGAAAGATTAATAGCGAGTTAACATCTCAGAAGATGCTTGAATCAATCTCCCTACGCTTCAATGACCTGAATTTCTAATAATAACATCATCTCAATTATTATGCCCCTAAATGTTAAACTTTCACATTCTCCATTAACTGTTTGGTTAATGTAAACAATTATTAGCCAATAAATTGGCATACATATATGACACAGCGTAATATTCACATACAGAATCGATTTCGCTTTCATTAGTGAATAAACTTATGTAACACTCTCGGTAATCGAGACGAGTACATAACCTGAAGACGCATTCATTAATCTCCTGATTAAATTTTCTAACTCTTCTGTGCAAAAGGCTTTGAAAAATTTAAATAAACACAGCTCAAACTCTGATCATACCTAATTAAAAAAAAACACTTTTACTGCTGCAAGTCAAATAAGACATTGAGAAGACAAATGTCCTGAAGTGATATCATATGATGTATATATATATATATATATATATATATATATATATATATATATATATCATATCATATATATCAGAGCGTCCTTGTGACTACACTGAAATCAGCACGACTGACAATACTAAAATAACATTTTTGACAATTAATATATAATGGGGGTACTTAAAATCATTTGTATGCAATATGCCTGAAGCTTACGTAAAGTGAATCTACATGTATTATTTCTTAAGTTCGAAAACATGGTGTCACTAACTAAACAAACTAAAATAAGATTCAATCACAATTCAAGCCAAACACTAGACTTTTTATGCCACAAAATGTAGAAAAGTATACTGAGTAAAACATTTGTGACTGCAGTCTTCACTTTAAGAGGGGCACTTAATAGGGAATTATTTGATACAGAGTGGTCTTTACATTTTGCGAACAGCATAAAATTAAAATACACACGCCAACACTATCATAATATAAAAAACAATTCATTCTCTGTCAACGATACTATTCTCAAACATCATACAACAGTTTCAATTAGAATGATCTCTTAAAAGAGTTCTGATCTAAACACTTAAACTAGTGCTAGTTCTCAACAAGCTATAAAAGTCGAATGATTATATTCACAAGGAAAAAGTAAAGTAACAGCAGGCAAACAAACAACAACTAACCACCCACCAAAATTACAATTCATAAAACGAATTACTGCTCAAAACAAAGCACGCGGTTGAGTCAAGGCCAATTAAACTGCGAAGAAAAATATGTTAGCGCGCACTGAAAAAGATTACATCCGCTGTGATTTCATCAAAAAATGTAGTTTAACAATGATATGGAGGCAACGAAATGGTTTCAGGTAGGCAGTATGTTTAAGATTAAACGTATGTTATCGCGTTTTCATGAAATTGTAGCGGTAAATAATTCCCCAAAATTATTGACCATAGGAGTAGATTATGTCTAAAAGAAGAATTACATCGTGACCATAAGAATCCTCAGTGAACATTGGATGCTGACCCTTAGAGTCTGAGTTGACTTGTTTAGCTGAAGGCCTTCCGTCGAGAATCCCCGCCATTTGGTACTCCGTCGTGTCAATTTCGTGCACAATACCTGGCTAACTTAACTTCCTCTTCAATCCGTGATTTAGTTCCGAAATATATCTCGTAATTTATACAATCAATTGAGGTGATATGTCACACAGTAGTAATTTGCAGTACATCTCTATTTTGTATTGTTTCCCACAACCCCCATTAGTTGACCTCACGACTGCACATAACCCCTCACCTCTCGCTTACACTACCTCCTCCTTTTCACCCTAAGACGCCTCTCCCGTCGTCTCCCGTTCGAATTCCACTTGATGGCCACGTCGCTATTACTGTGTACAAAAATATATGAATGTTAAAATAAACTTAATTAGCAGGACTTCAGAGTTATTGCTCCATGGATATGCGAAAAATTATATCTAGATATTTAGAGGGCTATAATCAATGAAGAAGTGTTCGTATCCCAATTAGACCACTAATCATGCCAGGTAAATATGTAGATAGATCCAAGAAAGCTGCTGTCGTAAAACTTAAGCTTCTTGGAGATAACTTTATTGAAATAACGAGGCACCTGAGGAATGAAGCAAAATGAGCATTCATCGAAGGAGTACGCTGACGTTGCAAGCACGTTAATTTCATGTTCGGGAAACGAGGGTGAATTGCCGCTTTTGTGAAGCTGGTTACATTGAGAGTATGTTAAATCCGTTCACACTGATAAACGTAGGACAGGCAACGCCTAATCTTAGCTCCATTTATGTGCAATTTTAGGTGCTGAGAACGAAGTTCATAAAAAAAACAAAATACTTGGGGTTATATACCGTATTCATGAATGCATAATAAGAAAATTTATCTTTATTTCAGACCATATGCGGACATATGGTGCAAAACTTTCAAGCGTATTTAGTTCCAAAATAGTTTTTCTTCATAGAGGATACCGTGATTTGTCTGAAGAACTGTAGAGCGTTGGCAATGGATAAAGGCACAAACGACCTTTTTGGAGAGGCTGAGCACTTCAAGGCCACTTATGTATATTGTGATTGGTAGATTTTACTTTGCGTAAACGCTGTGGCTAATACGTACCACACGTTACTGAGGCAGGCTTTAAAATGATAGTAATAAAAGTCGCATAAACATTACATTTTTCAGCTAAAGGAGATAAGTTAACATATGTGTAAATTTTAAAGATGTGATATGCATGTGGATCCACTAAAAAAAGAATATTGTTGGGTAACTTAATCAAAGAAGTATAAATTTTGAAGATTTAGTCTTTTTCAGTTGATTGTAACGGACGGATAGCAGAGGCAGTTGTGTAATATTTGCATTTTACAGAAGAAAAACTGGGAAAGATAAGTCGGAAGTTATATAATTCTTTAAATCTGTCGTCGAATATATGTACTGATCTTACCGATTCAACTACTGTTCCCTCCATTTTTCACATATTTATTGTGGCTAAGATAAAGAATTGTTCACCTGAGGTAAGATTAACTCACCTGATTTGTATACATCCTTAGGTATGTCTCAGTGTGGTCGAAGGAATACAATCTCGATCTTTGAATGGAAAGATCATAACCAGTTTCTTCTGAAAGATCAGGTGGTGCTGAAAGCTGTAAAGACGGGTCCAGTGTCACAATCATCTGAGGGAAACTGATCCACATATTGTGGATAAGAAGATTAGTGGACATTAATTTGACTACGATGTAGCAATGAAAAACTACAACTGTAATTTTTTTCACTGAATGGTTACAAGCCCTTTTTAATGTGAATATGTACTGTTTGACTGTTATTGTTTTGTAAATATATGCATTTATGTCGACTACATGTGTCTCTCTTAATTATCACTTCGAGGACATGGCATAGTTAAAGAAATTGATCGGCAACGTAGTAATACTTGTGTGAAATGAGTCATAGTGGCAAACCGTCATTATTACCTCAGTGCCTCATCAAGCCTTGCATGAAATGTCTGTTACATTTAATCCAGTTGCGTAAACGATTATCCTTCATCAGGTCTAGCGAAAAATTATACGTTTAGCTTATGTTTGTTATGCGATTACTACATATACATAATAACAAATGCAGGACGGCGACGTACATCCCAGCTTCGGTAAATGAGACAGCGAATAATCTGAGCTCTTCACTACCATACCATGCTGAATATATCAAGTTCAAGATGACTGCGAAAAGCGCAGAAGGGTCGCTGGCATTCAATTCAAGCAAATATCAGCTGTTTTCAACTGTACACCAGCAACATAACTTTTACAGAGCCATCAACTTCTATGCAGAGAGCTAGCATGATCTAGAACTAATTCTGACGAATTCGGGCCTAGGCCCCCTATGTCATGTTTTTTAAGCCAGACACATTTGTTTTCACGCGGTCGCCCATCAATGGACTGCGAAACTGCCCTTTCGAAGGCGCGCCGTACTCTTGGAGGGCATCCCAAAAAGAACAACTGAACACAGGCGGCATGGTAATGGACGCTATAATATGTCTTCATAACGTTAACTTCTTGAGAACTATAAACAAACCAGGAAAGGTTTGCAATATAGTACAAAACCCAAAATGGCCAGGAAGAGATATATTCCTTGGCATAAGCCTAAAAGTTTCCCTAATGAGGGAACAATAACAAAGGTGAGGCAAAACTTATTTACCCTCAAGATTTATCAATTGATTCGTCCACGGCCAAATAGGCTGGGTGCTTCAAGTGGACAATAGACGAATGAGTAATATAAAAAGTCTGTGAGAACTTCCAGAGTAAACAGATTGATTTCAGCGGAGTGTGCTTGAACTACAAATATCCTAATTTTCCAACTAATTTGCTTTTCGTTTCTTTTCGTCTTACCATAAATTCACATTCTATTCCGGTACCATCCCTTCATTGTCTTCTGTGTATATAATCCACCGAACCTCTTGAGTACCATAAGTAACCCCGACTAACTAATTTTCCAGAGTGCCTTCAATATATCTATAGGATTGAAGAGAGTACGATCGGAACTGCCGAATATGACACTACTCTGAAACCATAAAAAACTCATGTTCTTATTGCCTTAAACAAAGCTATAAGAAAAGGTGACGTATATCACATGCAAAGTCGGTCAAAGATATAGGACAGTTTCGAAACGCCTAAAAGCCAGATCAAGGAAATCTACAAGTTTACCCCAGGTTTCCTGTAATAAGTCGAAAATTTGAATCCTACGAACACCTTTTGTAAAGGTAACTCTGTGCAGACAAATGTTTTGCTAAAAAATAAATAAAGCCAGTACTTGCCAATTAAGAAATGGACTAAAACCTCCAAGAAATAATTAACCCTTCCTCGTCCAAAAACGTACAAACCAATAAATATTACTTTTAATCTCATCTAGTAGATAGTGAACACCCCACCAAAAATGGATGGGTCATTTGCACTTGTATATAGAGTATTACATTCATCTGATGTCTGGGTTTTTTTAATGCGAAGACAATATCTCTATATCTCTTTATGTGCTACAAAAACAGACTTTATAGCAGACTGTTCCGTCTGACTCTAATGTCAGAAAGAACAACCAAACTGTAAATTCATCATACATCAATTTGTGTAATTTATATAATAACTTATCCATGCCTGTACAATTGGTATGTTCCTGCATAAACAGGAAGAAATATATTATTATTATTATTGGAAGGAAACATTATAGGTTGCGACACAGTTGACTAAAATGTCGTATTACATTTCCTATGTATACCGGACACAATATTCCAGAAGATTTTCTCCAAATTCTGCCCAAGGAACTGGAACTTTGTTTCGCTAATGTATTACTTATTATCATCAGGCTTCGTCTGTTACATGGAAATATTAACCGAAAAACTGACATGCTATATTCGAAGAAAAACTCTATATTCAGTACGCATAACATTTTTCGGGGAAACCTGTGGTGTCTGGTAAACCTTGCGACAGAAAGGTAAGGTTCTGTTACATTTTTGTCTCTACATACTTCAGCAAATCTCTCGAAAAAGGGGCTTATACAGGACTGCTCGTTAAGCTACAAGATTTTGCAATCAAAGGCATCCTGTTACACCAGTCCAAATAATTCCTCGGAAGTATCAGGTAGGGAATACAGGATTAATTTGAATTTCCCTTCCTTGGCAGTAGCATGCAGTGGCGCGCCACAAGGTGCCACAGCCTGCCTCAATTTATTCTATATATGAGTGAATTAGTCGGGTTCACTGAATTTCCTTCCTCCCTATGTAGATTGCAGCCAAAGGATAGCTGAGGAATGCCCACGCTAAAAATAGATCTTCACAATCTTTTAGGACAGCGAAATCAATGGTTACTTTCAATCAACGTGGCAAAGATATTTACCAGAAAAGCGTTACAATTAAACTGAAGCTTTGAAAAGATTCCAAAGATGGCAGAAAGACCTGTAGTAGGTCTCAGAAATAAAAAGTTTGATGAGCAGCTAAAGAAGTTAAGCGTTTTCACACCTGGCTACTGTCGGCTTAGGGATGAATTTATCGCTGACTTTGAGATTATGAATAATGACAGTCACTCAAGCGAAGGTATTCTTCAAATAAGTATGTATGGACTTCCTCGAGGCAATTCTCGGAGGATAGCACACCAGATGGCAAGGACTCGAGTACGCGACCATTTGTATCCACTTCGGTTTTGCACCCATGTAACTCTATACTAGCGGATGGGGCTTTTGCACCGTTCGTGGAAGGCCTGCAGCGGAGACTGGACAATCATGCAGCGACACATGGACGGTGTCCAAACGGTCTATCCCCTTAATATCGAGACACTATTGATGGGTATACACCCAAACTTATCTTTTTACTGCTTTAAATTCTCTCTCGTCCTACTGTTATGACTACTCCATCTGTTAATTCATTTATATTATTTCCACTGATAAATATGTGTATGTGTGTGTAAATATGTGTATATTTCAAATTTCGTCGGTTATCGGTTTCTTGCGTTTTTTCCTTTTAATTCATTATAATATACACTAATTATATTTATCATTATTACCTCCTTCTTCGATCATACTGCCGAAGATGAGGAAAATTTATCTTACAACCAAAAGTCGAGAATAAGGAAATTCCAGCTAGTAAAAGTGATATTGTACATTGAATCGTTTTGCCGTTATTTGAAGCCGAAACTGCATTTCGTTACCTGATTTCGTGAGTCCTCATATGTCTACACCACACTGCACGTATCATTTGAGTTAATTTCTGATGCAAGTATGTGTATCAGTAAGGGATAACACAAATTTAATCCTTTAATTGTACGTAATTAAATTACATGAGTGTAGTTAACTAATTTGTCTTCAGATAATATTTCAAAGATATTAAGCATTTGCTGTAGTCTTTGTTATGGTTTTCATATCTCTGATCATTGTGTCATGATGGATTATTGGTCCCCGCCATACAAAACTGTGTTACTCATTCACTGTGAAAATTACTTGCTTATATTTTTCTATTTCCAGTGAGCTATCTGACTAAGCGAATGCATTTCATTCATGAATTTGGCCCAAGTCTTAATGGTTTAGTCCTAAAGACAGTTCGACATTATTATCTTACTCTTTTTAATCTACTAATCTGAAACAGAGTACGATGTGCACTTCTACCCAGCTAGCATTTTTTTCGGGCGCATTGCAGACTTTTTGGGGAAGACTTCGGGACACTGTCCCACGTAAGTAGATCTACCTGAAGTTTTTGCCCCAAAATGTCTGCAATGCGCCCGAAAAAAATGCTAGCTGGGTAATCCGTGGAAATTAATTTCCCAAGCTTGTTATAATTCTGAATTAAATCTCAATAATTCTGAAATAATTCTAGCATCCTATAGTGAGTAAATTCTGAATTTGTTCTGAAATCGTTTGTTTAGTGGCACAGACTAGAGCTAAGTGCTAGTTTTCAGCATAACTAGCGCTAATTCAGAACCGTGTTCTTCTTTTAAGCATAGCAAAGACTAAATTCAGCACATAGTGGCAATTTTTTCAGCCTAATTTAAGCCTTTGCAGATCATTTTCAGCACTGACTAGCACTAATTCAGAACGAAAAGACTTAATTCAGCACATAGTGGCAATTTTTTCAGCCTAATTTAAGCCTTCCGGATCATTTTCAGCACTGACTAGCACTAATTCAGAACGAAAAGACTTAATTCAGCACATAGTGGCAATTTTTTCAGCCTAATTTAAGCCTCGCGGATCATTTTCAGCACTGACTAGCACTAATTCAGAACGAAAAGACTTAATTCAGCACATAGTGGCAATTTTTTCAGCCTAATTTAAGCCCTCGCGGATCATTTTCAGCACTGACTAGCACTACTTTAGAACGAAAGAACTTCTACTTATTATCATCCTACGCCGGCGAAATTCATTTATTCAAGTGCAGAAGAAATCAGTTTTTATAATTGAGACTTTTGTATTTATAAATTGTAGTACAACGTCACTGCAATCCGTCAAGTGCGATCCACTGGCAGCATCCTGCAAATAAGCAGAATAAAATATTAGTGGGTGAAAAATTGTGCTCAGCACATTCTGAGCACTGACATTTATAGAAGTTTACTTACATAAGTGCCACTGTTATATCCCCCAGTATCTTTTTCATTTGCCTAAAAAAGAAAACAATATTGTGATTACTACATGCTGAACAAACGTTCACTTATAGAAGTAAGCAGGCGTTTCACAATATTACCTGAATTCCTTGCTTCCGCTTACGCCTCTGGACACGATCTTTCAAATTATGAAAGTACGATTTCGTGGCCTTATCCATCATTTCACAAATCTCTCCGGTCGTCATTTGTTGGCCGGAGAAGTGCGACATAATTAAAGCTAGAGAACTAATTACTTCATTAATGAAACTTACTTCTCATTATTTTATAAAAGGCATAAGGCACAATGCTTGACTTTGACAAAGTCCCCTGGAATGTAAACTTCAAACCCAATTCAGGTTTTATAACTTGGTGCATCATGACCTTAAGCGACAACTTTGGATCACTCTGAAGGCAGCTAGCCATCTTAGCAGTCTACAAGAAATAAGAATTGAATACGTCAACTCACATATTGCTGTTTGTACTTGTCGTCTCTTAAAGATGCTTCCAGCATCTCTAACTGGTCTTCATTCTCGATCGGAAAGTGCAGTGTTAGGTCCCCGTTTGCTGGAGGGTAGGTTTGCTGTCGAAATTTTCTATCAGTAGTAATAATGTTCAAAATTTTCGTGCACAGGTTTACGATTTCCATATTTGTATCTTTAAATAAATAATTATTTTCAAGTAATTACCGAGTAATTTCTTAATTAAGGATTCAGTAGCATATTCGTTAGAGGGCAATCTAAAGCATAAATAAAAATTGTGACAATTATTCCTACCGGTCACACACACACTTCTTTTTGGCAATAGGAGATGAAGACTGGAATTGGGGGGCACCCGAAGTACTGAAAATGAAGGGCTTTCCATCAAGTTAATACCTTGGAATTGGGGCCACGAAGTCATCAAATATGTTATAATCTGGATATTGTGGTTTGATGCAACCAACCTCACTGGCAGCTACTTCAATATCCATTGAGTTGTAAAGGAAATTTTTATCATTTTTCTTGGCATCCCTGAAAAATGTGTTAGACAGACAACGATACCTACCTTTTCGGTCTCTTACTGGGCATTGGCAACGTGTCATCGTCCATGTCTACATTCCTGGTGCCTTGATCATTGCTTTTCATAAGCTCTATACCCTTTTTACAGTTCTCATACGTATCTAGAAGGGTGATAATGAAATATGCCAACTTACCAAATTCCTGCAGTTGACGGAATTGAAATACTGACCATCCAGCCCCGGTAAACATAGGCTCTAGATGGTTTGCTGTGCTGCTGTACGCACATAAACCACTTCGCATAACCCAAGTGTTTGGGATAGCGACTACAGTGTCATCTTCAAGCGAACGGACGACGAGGTATCTGATTGGTGTAGAATTCTGCAAAAGGATATGTGATGAAGTGTAAATACGGCTTAAGAATAAGAAAAAATTATCTGTACCTGTAGCTATTGCGTACATTAAAATTGGACCTCTTCTGTAACATCCATATAAGCGAAAATCCATTTTGAGTCACCCATCACACGATATCGCTCATGTAGGATACTTAAATAATGAATGTAGCACTAACGCAACTCTACTAAAAAATTTATATTAAAAATCTGCGATATCAAAACAAGGACAACAGTGCTGTCATTCAAAACGGGATGTATGCTTTGATATGGCTGTCACTACACTAACAGTAATCGTATGCGAACAATTAAAAGTAACCCGACTGTGTGATAACTTGGGTAATAATGAGCCCACCAAATCAGTGAAGGCCATCGACCGACGAAGAATGCCAATGCAGCCGTGGGCCTCTGGTTATAAGGAAGCAGATTCAGATTTAGATGTAAAGAATAGCAGGCTCTTGTGGCCTGTGTTAATCCTTGCAAAATATATCTCTGCAGAGTTCTAACTTCTCTTTGAAAGCATTCACTGATAGAGCTGGTACTACTGAACCAAGTAGGGAGTTACAGTTGTTGACCACTCCGTGAGAGAATCTAAATTCTGCACGTATTTCAGTCATCCTCGGTTTGAGCACCTTCTTGTGGTGACCTCGCAAATGTATCCTAGAAGGACAGAAAAGGTTAGGAATGTCAATTACTAAATCACTCTTAAGTATACGGTGTACTAAAGTTAAGTCACCTCTCTACCTTCAGTATGATAACGGGAAGAGATTTAAGTGCTCCATCCTTTTGTCATAAGGAATATGTGCAATAATGAATGCTCCCTGTCTGACCCGTTGTACAGGGGTCATTCCTTGAAATTCTAATACATATGAGTCATTTTCCAGATAAGGGTTGTCAGGCTGAACGCATTATATTAATTTTGACCTCATTTTCCCTCTGACAATATATATATATATATATATATATATATTTATATATAGGGAGTGGGAGGTTGATGAACAAATCAGTGGTGATGCTACTGAGGTTACTATATGTTGTTCAAGTGATTTTGAGGTCTTAAGCTACTGAAGGTCTTTGTATCAAAGTTTTTAAGTTACTGAAGACTTCGAGTCGTTAAGTATTTGATTTGCGCTGAGAACTTTCTTTAGTCAGTATGGTGAAATTGTTTAACGTCTAAATCTTATGTTGCAGTCTAACCACATAATCCGAAGGCTGCATATTTTGAATGCTACTAAAGGTCTAATGGATTCGGTAAAATGATATCAATATTCACCTTATAATCACCTTTTATTAGCTACATCTGCACGAAAGCACCATGGATAGAGCACAGAGTTTTGTTTTACTAATTAAGGGCTAGAAAATAAAATGTTGTGTGAAAACCTTCAAGCTCAAAAAGCCGAATTCTGTTCTATAAATCATAGTAATAAATATACGTAAAAAACGAAGGGTGAAGATTGTCATACGCTAACAGTAGCATATATTTTGTAAATCATCTGCACACATTCTATGGAGTGAATCTTTTAAATATCAGTTATTTGACTCAATCAAATACACACCATTGTGCAATGAGCTAAACACTCCTGGTTGAATGATGTTTTACGTGTTAAATCAAAATATTTCCAATGATACTTTGGAAGTAGGAAACGTTCTGGAAATTTATTAAATGGAATACAAAATCAAGCCGTTTCTGTTCGGCTGGGGGCTAGTTTTCATCCATCCATTATTGAACTAAAAATGCGAATTCCAAAACCTCTACTTCAGGTACTTAGTTGATACAAGTATGGACCCGTTTATATGCATTTTTATCAAAGTAAATAACTTCGGTCCATTGACTTGACACTGTTTTGTATCTCCAATGAAATCTTTTCTCGAATTATTTGTACCCAACAACATACATTAAATGGTGCCAACAAGATGTAGGAGTGATCGGCTGATGTTTGACGCTTGAACTCATATCGCGATAATTTGATGCTAGGTGAAAAATATTTTGTGCTGAATCACAAAATTTATTAGTTGAATTGTTATCGTATAAAGTATTCACTAATATCCATTAGATATGCTAAAGACTGTGTTTTCACATCTACCGTTTACATATTTTTAGTCCCCACGCATTTGTTTTTCTAGGTTTTTCACTCAAAAGCTATTATATATCTTTAAAATTTGTGTGTCTTTACTCCAATAACCAGATTTACGATTAAGCATCATATTTCTATAACAGTGAACACCTGCTTACTTCACTGTTATTTGCTGTACAAATAATTTAGTTGTGAGACCGATATCCAGTGTTGACTATATCTAATTTCTACACAGTGGATACAAATTGTTCCACCTCCTTTGGAAAATTTCCTCCATGCACTAAAGCTCTAATAAAGTAGAGTGGTAATTAAGTGTGTCGTTACAGTACTTGCAATAAGATTTATATTCTTCCTTCTAGTCTAAAACGTTATTACAAATTATGTTTTACTTGGAATAATTTACTCAATGGATTTATTAATTTTCTTGGTTGTTCTTTTAAACCGTTATAGATGTTCGACTGTTCAAATGATGAGACAATATCAATTCAGGCTAATTCCGTGGATATAGCTAAATATTTACAAAATCATGGAATTCCTGATCAGGTGGTTGATATTTTCACAAAAAACACTATCGATGGATTATCATTGTGCCTTTTAACTGAGAAAGACTTACAAGAAATGAATATCAGTCAGATTGGTATACGAAAACGAATCTTATTTCTTTGCTCATTATGGCGTCACCAAGTTGAAAAACAACGTTACGGAGGATATGCCTTGCCAAGAATATTTAGTCAAAATTCTTTAGTTGACTTTCTAAGTTTTAATGACAACAGATTGTCAAGTGAATTACAACCATGTAGATCAAGTGCCAATCATAATAATAATAATAACAATACAGACTGTGCAGTGGAAAGTTCATTACTAAATGATTCTGAATATGGAATAGATGAAGATAATTCGAATTCCTGGAAATTACTTATTAGCTTTTTGTATTTCATTTTCTCAACATGTGTCACAGCATTTGTTATAGTTCTAGCACATGAACGTTTACCTGTTACATCTAAATATCCTCCACTTCCTGATTTATTCCTGGATAATTTACCTCATATTGGCTGGGGATTCATTGCTGCAGAACTGGTTGGTATTGTACTATTTGTGATATGGTCAACCATCCTTATCTTACACAAATATCGATGGATATTAATCCGTCGATTCTTTGTACTTATGGGAACAATATTCTTACTTAGGTCAGTCACTATGATAATAACTTCACTGAGTGTTCCTGGATCTCATTTAACAGACCAATGCAGTCCTTATATTGTTAAAAATTATACACAACGCTTTAAGCGTGTATTAGAAATATGGAAAGGTCTTGGATTATATATCACTGGAATACAAACATGTGGAGATTATCTTTTTAGTGGGCATACAACCTGTCTAACTCTTCTCAACTTCTTCATCACGGAATACACACCTAGAAAATTTCATCTTCTGCATACTTTCTCTTGGGTATTAAATCTTTTCGGTGTATTTTTTATTCTTGCCTGTCATGAACACTATTCTATTGATGTTTTCATTGCTATATATTTATCATCAAGATTATTTTTATATTATCATTGTCTTGCTAACAGTAATATTCTTCATCAACCAGGTAATGAACGTACTAAAATATGGTTTCCATTATTTTCATTTTTTGAAAACAATGTTACAACAGTTGTACCAAATGTCTATGAAATTCCATTTAGAAATAATAATAATTACTTCAGCAAATGTAATCATAGTAATACTACTAACAGTATTCATACTACTACTAATAATAATAATATTAATCATATGAGCACCGACAGCAGTGTTAATATTGATAACTATAATAATTTTAACAGAAAGCAAATAATGAATGATAGCAGAAAGTCAAATCACACGCTACTTCGTAATCATCATAGTGAATATCCACTACATAATCATATATCCCAGACATCAGTTAACGCCTATACATCAAAATATGACGACAGTCTCAATAAAAAGGACTATTAATAATGTTGAGTTATTCATTCTTTAGCTATATATATTATTGAAAATAAAGAAGAAAAATAGCTATTCAGTAGTGTTCTGTTTCAATACGACAAGTTGATTCGCTATTGTAAGTGCATTACAATTAAAATACCTTGATAGAGCATTTCTATTCGTGTTATGTAACAAATTTATTTATAAACATATTCGATAAACTGTTGATAATGTCAACTATGTCTTATGAATTTGAATTTTCAAGCATTGTTAATATCCTTCGTAATGTGTTTGTTCTGAATAGAAAAAGAAAGAGGGTTGAGTTGTCTTACTTTAATAGTTGGAAAGGAAATTGACGATCCTATTAAAATAAAAATTTGGATAAAAAAAACTCTTTTTGTCTTTCATCAGATTGATCATGTTTTTAATTTCATTTATTTTCTTTGAAATTATAAAAAATTATTACCTATTATGTGATTTCCTGAGAATAGATGCTTATCACGAAATTAAGAATAGTAAATAAGAGAAAAAAGCTTACAATGAATTTTACTCATAACGACATGTTTATCCTGCAATGGAGTTTTACTTCTGTAGCAGTAAATAATCCCACCCCCCCCTCTTCCAAAAATGTTGTTTCCCTATAACTTACACCACTAAACACGGGGTTTTGACCCTGACTGATTAAATCGACTGGTGTAAGCTGAAGGCAGACAGTGAAATATTCTCATGATTTGGTAGACTGTCGTGTTACGTCCCATTGTTCGTACATGATTTCTAGTTATTTGAGCACTTATTCCTCCTTAACAATACCAATTCTGAAATGTAATTCGTATTTTTTGGACGATCTAAATGTAGTCCCGATTTGTCTTAATTACTGTCAAATAGAACGAGTACATCGATAATTAAAGGATAATATACTAACATTGTTGTATAATAGTATCTTGTTTACTCGTGGATATACTTCTTCACCTAAACTTTGTTGATTGATGTTAAGATACTTCTGAAATGTTCAGTGTTTAGTTAAGAAAAAAAACAACATATTTTCATTTTAAATGATGTATGTGTAACAAATAGGAATTCAGTGAACACTAACAGTTGAAGTTTGATCACGGATTGATGCCAGTTAGAGATCTATTGAAAACCAAGGAGTACTTCACAGTAGTTTCGTTCTAGTTTGGGACTCTTCAGCAATACTTAGCCATAACCCTATCAGGGATTCAAATCAGGACCCTTTAGTTACGACACCAAATTCGTTGACAGCTCAGCCACTTGAGTCAGAATCTAGTGTTCCATGAACTCGAATATTTTTTTAAATCGTGACTTCAGCGCAACCGCCAGCCGGCGTCATCGGTGAGCATTTGTCCTCACACCCGACCCGGTGGTTTTTACTGGTCATGAGTTCTCACCAGAATTCCAGGCAACTTTGTCCCGCATTTAATCACCAGCGAGTATTAAGTTAATTTTTAAGAGCCAGCTAGTGGGGATTCGATTTGATTTCAGCTAGCGGTTAGGCTAAAATCACGAATTAACAGAGGTTAGAATTCATGGGACAACGGATTCAGACCCAAGTGACTGGATGGTCTACGAGCTTGTCTTGTAACCGGAAGGTGTTGGATTTGAATTGCAGTAGGTAAATAATGCTGATGAGTCCCAAACTAGGATGGAATAGCTGTCCAGTTCACCTTAATTTTCAGTAGTTCTCTAACTGACATCATTCCGTGACCGGACTTTAAACCAATCAAAATCCCTACAAACTAACTCTTAAAAATGGAAACTTTTAATTGAACGATGAATTATTTCCGTTCGTCTTCATTGAAAACAGATGAATTACACTTTTCAATAAATTTGTAGTTGAGTCAAACTAAGCCTAAAACAGTGTATATCGACCTTACTGTATTCTTATCGATAAAAAAACTTTTTAAGTCCAGAGCAATTCCTTTGGTTAGTTGTTATGTACTCGTCGCTAAATTATTGTTATGGACTGGTCGAGAAACTAATAGTCCTGACGCAAGAAGGCGGAAATCAGAAGACCACTAGGTTTGCGATGATACTTCTATTGTCCAAACACAAGGAGAATGCAAAAGTGGTATCACACCAAAGTGGTAAGTAAGTAAAGTAGTTCACACAGAATGTGTGAACGAAATATATATATAGCAAAATATAGCAGACATATCAATACAACCATATATGGATATATGTCACTAAGCAACGGACTGTCAACAAACACTCATATTATATATAATATAATATAAGGAGAATACACATTAATAAAGGAGACAAGTTCACACAGGTGAAATGGTCACAGACTAAGCGAGCAAACAGAAGAGAGACCAACATACACACACACATACATATATATATGTGGATACATATCATTAGTCTTTAATGATATCTTATATTACCTGGGTCACTTTCTTATTGTCTCAGTCATTACCAAATATCATTATTATTAGTTGTAGTATTTTGGTTATTGTATAATTAGTCTATAGTCCTCTGTGTGTGTGTGTGAACATCTCATTAGTGAAAAAAAAGAATTTTAAGTGGTGAGTTTTCCTTATCTTTTTGAAAATAACAAATGTTTTGAGTAAGTATTCTCTGTCTTGAATTATTTGTTGAGCATTGTGTTGCGTTGTATTGCGTTGTGTTGTTCTTCGTTAGTGAAATGTTTTCATCTGACTGTTTACCAACCAACAATCTAACACTAGTTGTTAGTTGTTATTATTAGCTGTGCTCTTGTTTACAATATGGATATAAACTACCAACTACATTATGTAATAAAATTTCTAATTCATGTTTAATAATGGTGGGTGTATATTTTATGTCAGTCATCATGGGCTTAACAATTAAAACAGCACAGTTTAAATGTGTCTGTGTGCGTGTGTGTTTTACATTTTAGATACATAAAACATTTAAGTACTAAACAGATAACATGTTTTCACACTTTAACTACTAAGACTGACTACGCGATGCTTAAAATAATAAGGAAGTGTTGCTTTAACATTTGAGCAGTCGTACTCTGTCGGACAGATGTAACTCATTATTTTGAAAAATGAGTTTATAATAAGCTTTACTTGAAATAGATGTTATTGAACGTTTAATTTAATTTATAACTTTGTTTTTTGTAGAATCCATTCCCTTTGTATTCATTAACCTGCTCATGCTTGTTCTCTGAAGATTTATTCTATTTTTACAATGCAAACGTAATTTGTTTTCGTGTGGATTAACGATGTCTGCTAGCTGAAAGAAAAACAGACTGAAATAGTGATGCTTTTATCAGCATTATATATATATATATATATATCGTGGCGGTTAAATCATAATCTAAAAGAGCCTTTAACCTCTAAAGACGGTTTACTCCTAATCAAGAAACAGACGTTTAAGATCCATAAATGATCAATTTCAATGACTATAGGAGGATGTATACCTTTCTATTGTGTTAAAACAAATAATAGTACTACTACCATTACGATTAATAATAATAATAATGTTCAGTCAATTGCAGAATGTATTGATGTTTAAATGTTTATTCATCATCATTTTGAAAGAGCAAAATTTTAATTGTGTTTTGTTTTGATACTCCCACACACACACACACACACATATATGTACATACAAACAGAAGAAAAATAATATTCTAGTACACAGAGTGGAAACTTAATACATACAACGCCAATCAATACACGAAGTAGAAGAAGAAGAATAAGACTAAGAAGACTACACAGAAAAGGAAGAAATATAATAACACCAAACTGGAATGTAATGAAGGAATTAAGTGGTAAATAAATTCAAATTTTATTAAATACACAATATGAGACAAGTGGTGTTAATTCAACAGACTGAATGGTGTTGTTTATTTTAAGCGTGTGTGTGTGTGTGCGCGCGGGCGTTTTTCACTTCGTCGGGTTTATTTCCCCGGCATAAATGTAACCAAAGAAAAAATAGATTATGTAAATTAAAATCTCATGATTTCATCCTAAACTATGCTTATACTTTACAAAAGTACTGTCAATATTTAGATCATTACCTATATACATATTCTATAGTTTGGTTTGTAAGGGTTAGTTTTGTTTTTACGAGTTGATCATGGATTGATATCAGTTGGAGAACCATTGAAAACCAGGGAGTACTGGACAGCTGTCTCATCTTAGTCTGGGAATCATCGGCAGTACGCACCAACCGCCAGGGCTCGAAACCAGGACCTTTCGGTTACAAGGCAAACTCATAAACCATTCAGCCTTTGAGACCCAATTCAATGGCTCATGAATTCTAACTTCTACCAATTCGTGATTTTAGCATATACATATTATTATCATCAATATTCCATTAGATTTCGAGTTGAACATAAGGCCACAACATCACATTTCCAATTAATTGTGTTTTCTCCAGTCGACTTTAACTGGCACCATGATTACCCATACGTTCACATATCCCGTTCACACAATCTTCTTCATGTTGCCCTTAGAGATACCCCCAATTAATCATTTCCCATTCAGACTGCAGTTGAAGGCCATTCCTTCAGTGTCATTCAGTGATCTCCTCAGAAGATATATATATATATATAATTGTCAAGATGGCCATTCACATTGCCAGAAAAGATCAACAACAGGGATCTTTAGAAGTGAGCGAACCAACCAGGAACCGATTGTGAAACAAATAGGTAAGAAGAAATGGAGATGGAATGGTCATACACTGAGGAAACCATCAAGTGACATCACTAGACAAGCCATCGCTCGAGTGGAACCCGAAAGGGAAGCGGCGAGTTGGTCGTCAATGTGAGGGTGACTTGGAGGAGGTCATGTGAAGAGGTGAAGAAAGAATGTGGGCAGACTTGGAGCGGAGTGAAAAAGTTGGCAGAAAACTGAAGGCAATTGAGACGTGCAGTTGAAGCCCTATGTCCCTCTAGGAATTAAAGGATATAATAATAATAATTGTCAAGAACGCAACCAAAATATGCCGGACAGATTTACAAGAATCGGTTTGGTGAATAATGAGAGATTCAGTGGGAGAAACAGATCTAAAATATTTGAGTTCCAAAGAACGAAAAATGAAGAATACCTTTAAAAACAGAATTCAGTCCATATCAGTTGTCAAAATAAATGATACATATACGTCGGTAGTCCAGTAGCAGAACACTCACCATTCAACGCACATAGTTCGAAATTCGATCCCCTGCCTACGCATTCATTAACTTCACTCAGTCTGCAGTAAAACTGGCAAAGACGGAAGGCTGGAAGGGAGGTGAACAACTCCACCCGTAAAAGGGAAACACTGCTACTACTGAAACTTCACAGTTTAAGATTGAAGCCCTACGTTCCATTTGGAACTCAAAGAAATAAAATAATAAGTAAAACAAATAAGTCAGTCCATCCTTTGGTGAAAAAAATAATCATTAAAGTTTACCATAAAAAAAATTAGACGTACATACATGATGTAAAAGAAAACGCTGTTACATAATTAAATGACTAGCATCAAATAGGAATTTTAAAAAAGAATACAAGATGAGTCATAATAATAAACCGATGGCATTACTAAGCTAAAAAACACGATGAGTGATACAATCAGACAATAAGACTA